TCAGCAGTCTGCTACAGCTGCCAAAAAAGCAAACCTAGTCTTAGGCTGCATCAACAGAGGAATAGCATCAAGATCACCAGAAGTGATAGCACCACTCTATACATCATTGGTGAGGCCATATTAGGAATATTACATCCAGTTCTGGCTACCATAGTTCAAAAGAGTACAGAGAAGAACAACAAAGATGATAAGGAATCTGGAGGCTAAATCCTATGAAGAATAGCTAAAACAAGTAGCTATATTTAGTTTAAACAAGAAAACTCAGAGGGGAGACATGATACCAATCTTCCAATAGAGGGCATCTATTTAGCACCTGAGGTTAGGACAAGAAGCAATGGGTGAAAGCTCATCAAGGGGAGATATAGATAAGGAGGAATTTTCTGACAGTAAGAAGTATTAAGCAGTGGAGTGGTTACCTTATGGAATTGTGGGTGCTCTGTCACTGGAGTTTTTCAAGGAAAAATTGACAACTATTTGCTTGAGATGGTATGAGGACTCTGCTTTGGGCAGGAGATTAGACTAGAAGATCTCAAAGGTCCTTCCAGCTAATCTGATTAGTTTATTTTATTATTTACAAGAATATGTTAAGTCATACATTAAAAGCAAAGTATCCCATAGAGATTATGGAATAAAACCAGTGAATGCAATTCACTTGTGTCAGTTTCAACTTATTTCAGGGCAAATCCAAATTTTTGGAGAAAAAAGTGGAGGGTTACCAATACTTTTGGCCACTTCTGTATGTATTAACCAGATTGTTAATAAGTAGTTTATTTTGGTCACAAGCCAAAGTTTTATGCTGAATTATGTTGACACTGACAGATTACAATATCTCTTGGCTACTATTTATGTTTGATTTCTTTTTTATATTCTGATTTAACAATTTTGATTATTTATGGTTCATCACCCAGAGACATGATTTGAAATGGTCAGCTATAATAAATAAATAAATCTCTCATGATTCATTAATAAGGTACCACTCCTCTCTTGTTCCTTGCTTATCCAATTATTTATTCTCACATTCATCTCTTCCATTTAAACAAATGCTGAGTTACACAAAGAAAATAAATTTATATTATATAACTTAACCAAGCAATTTAATAAGTTCAGCTCAATTTTTTTTAAAGTAAAGCAAAACCCCAAATGCATGTCTTACAAAGGGATTCAGAATGAATGAATCTTTGTATAAGAAATGCATTTGGAAAGATGCTTCCTTGTAAGCAATAACTGCAAGATAACTTAAGTTGTTCTACTTTCGTTTTTCCTAATCACTGTGCAGGATGAATCTCTTCAACGCTTGCAAAAGGAATCAGAAATCTTACAGAGAACATATGCACACTACTTTGACCTTACAATTATCAACAATGAAATTGATGAAACAATCAGGCATCTGGAGGAAGCCATTGAGCTTGTTTGTAAAGCATCGCAATGGGTTCCTGTTTCCTGGATATATTAAACCCAATTACCAGAAGAATGTGATCATTATTGGAAGCCACCTCATACTTGGAAGAACCTCTTTGTTATTGACCTTATGTCAACAGGTCTTGGCCCCTAGAGACTACCTAGATGTAGTGTGACCTAAATTTATAATTATTGTCATGTCCTTATAGCTAGGCAAAAAATATGATAATTTAAAGAGACAGTATCTTTTTTAATCAGTTCGCCTAAATTTTATTAAAATGTATCTTTAAATATATGTATTATTCAATCCTTTGGAATGTTATATTTTTGGAACTCATAGCTTTTAATTTCAAAGGCCCCTAAAACTGCACAAAATAGATGCTGCTTTCTATAATCTATTTTAATAATAATATGATCTTTACTTTAATTGGGGGTGAAACATTGCATCTTTTAGAGTCTCATTTTGTGAATTGGATTGAGTTTTCCTTTATTTATTTGAAATTATTAGCCCAATCATGACCAGATCAGTACTTATATTCTAATGGCCTTCTTCTGCTTTTTAAAATCATTTTTAGGATAGCATTTTTGAAGTATTTTGGTTTAATATGCAGATAATGTGATACTGTCTCTTTGAAGAACTCTGTAAAACTGAATAGAGATTTGAAGTTGGGTCTTGACTCTTAATGCATGTGGACAGTTGCAAGCGTTCATGCCGTTGGTGTATCTGTGTTGAAAAAACTGTAATCTACAACCAAGTACATTCCGTTCATGGGGGGAAGATACCCAAGGGAATCAAATAAAATATTATGACTAAGTTGTAAAACCTATGCACATCCCTTGCATTTTGGGCAACTTTATAAACAAAAATCCTAATTTTTATTAATAATCATGTAGTGAAATGTGTTTGTAATTTTGTCTCAAATTAATTTGTTGTAAAAATGGGAGGGGAAAAAAATTACTGGTTTTGCCATTTCAGATCTGTGTTGTCTGAGAGTATTACCGTTTTAATTATGTTTAAGCAAATATGCTGATTTTTAATATGTATGTAATTGTTTTGAAAATGCACACATTTTAAGAGAAAATACTGTGCAATGAAAGAAACCCAGTTTAGGCTTTGCGATAAATTAACAGTTCCAAAAAAAACTCAGCTGCTGCAGCCCTGTAAATTCTTTTCAGATTCTATAGTCTGACCATTTTTTAAAGTTTTATTTTAAATATACTTCATTTTATGTGTTCAACAATTAAATGCCTTGAGTCATTCATTTCATCACAGGATTCTACAACCACTTAAATAAACAGCCAATTTTTTGTAGATATTTAGAAAAAAGTTCTCTCATCTTTGTGATATTTGACATTCATGCTTTAATTGCAAGCTCATTCTGCAAATAAGGGTCGCTTTATACATTCATATATTCACATTTTTAGTACTTGCTTGTATTATATACATGCTGAAAAGTATATATTCCCAAAACACATTGTAATAAAATAAATATATGGTTCAGATAAAATGGATTTTCCAAATGGCTATGGCTCCCTGAGCTATATGCTCTAGTCGGGAAAAATACAATCTTGGCAATGTGTGGAACAGTCCTAAATCTTAGATATGGAGCCTTAATAAGCAAATTTACCATGAATTCATCTCAGGGTTATTGCTATATTCTGATTTCTCTAACCAATGTCTTAGCAAGGATAACATCTGTTCCCCATCATAACAGAGGGAGATTGTGCATTATCCATTCCAGTTTGTGATATCTTTGTGAATCAAATCTCCATGTATCACTGGTATTACTGTATCTTGGACTGATTGTTTTACATTTTTATTATTTAATATGGATTCTTTGCTTTTGTTATTAAATTCCAGTATGTTTTTGAAAAGTGTTATCTTCAACATTGCAATACAGAAGTATTATTTATTAATGTAAATTCCTTGAGAATGATTTAAGGTTCTCAATAGTTATCATTCTTAAAAAAACAAAAGATTGTTCTTCTTTCAGAGTTTTTAAGATTGCAGCTTGTTCCCCCATATTATTTCCAAGTTAGGTTGTAAGAATCCTTTGAGCTCAATTTTTCATTTGCACATATTACATTACCTACCAAGGTAACATCTTTACTGCTGTGATCCTGAAGAAGTGAGGATTGTATATAGTTTTCTGGCAATCTTTTTATGTATTTTGGTGGATAGTCACAATAGCCACAAGTAGCTAACCTCACTTCTTCAAGATTATAGCTCTGAAGAAACATTTACAAATAAAAAAACTTAAACTCAGAGGATTCTTACAACACTTTTGCAACAATCATATCATATAATATATATATATCATATCATATAATATATATACATACATACTTTAACATTACATTGTATGCATTTCCAAGTCAGTTGTAATTAGGTTATCAAAGGAAATGCTGATTAGTAACAAATCTAGAGCAGAGAATAGCAAGGTGGTCATTTTGCACTTAGAAGTGTATGTTTATTGGCAGAAAACTTACCTGCCTCTGTTCCAGTGACATATTCTGAACTTACTGTACACTTTGCAAGCTATTTATGAATTTCTGGATGTTACATATATTTTTTTAAGGGGGGGCATTATTTTCCCTTGATTATATCTGTTAATCAGGTTCCTAGTAATTTGATCAATGTGTATCTATATAATTTATAGCATCCCATATAGTCATTATATGATTTATATGGCTCTGTAACACTGTTGAAAAAGTCATTGGAGCGAGTTACATTGTGTTTTTTGTTTTCATTACTTTTGAGAACTGATCCCAGGACCTAAATCACTGAGTTCATTCAAGATTCTTTTACTCTCCCTTTGTACCTCGACATCTGCATGGAGGTCTTCTTCCCTCTGTTGTTTTGGTTTTATATAATATACTAAACTATCAGTTCTCTTATTAATTTTGATAAATATTCGGGCGCAAAATAGGGATTTGACAATAGGTGCTAAATGTTTGTATCGTTAATATATAACAACACCAGCATAACATTGCAGTATAAGTTCACTTCCCATGATAATGACCAAACATAAATTAATTTTAATACAGTAGGATTATATCCATGATTTGTAAAGGATTGCTCTTGCTACTATTACTGTATTAATATTGGAAAATACAGAACAAAATATATTGAATTGAAAGCTAAACATAAAACTATTTGGGAATTGTGAACTTTTTAGGGTGTTTGTTTTTTAGAAGCAATGTAGGGTCCAGATAGCATATAAACACTACCCTATAACATCATGCGTCATTTCGCTCTTATTTTTATGCAGAAACATGCTTTATTAAAAAAAACATATTTTGTTACCTCGCCAGAATTTATTGTGTTAAGAAAGTCCTGAATATTGAGAATTGGATGTGAGTTACATAGTAGATTCTTTCATACACACACAGCCACACACATTCATGCACAGTATTTTAAGAAAAAGTAAAAACAAATACAAACTAATGTAAAGTAAGAAAGGAAAAACAAAAAGAGAAAGCTAAAAATGCAAGACAGGAAAACAGTAAAAATAGAAAAGAAAGAAGAATGATACAAAGAATTGGTTTTGACTTTTTTAACAGCAGTTAGAAGTGCAATTACAATTTTACCTCTCTAAAGTTACAACATGATTCTTTCTGTAATCTATACTGTCTAATCATCAAACTAATTCATAAATACTTTTTTTTTCCTGTTTCACACAAAAAGTCTACAAAGGGTTTCCATTCCATTTCCAGCAATAAGCAGAGAAGCCATGGTGGCACTGTGACTAATTCTACTGACTGCCAGGAGTTTGATTCCTTTGATCTTGATTGACTCAAGGTTGACTCAGCCTTCCATCCTTCCCAGATCAATAAAATGAGACCCAGGTTGTTGGGGCCAATAGGCTGACTCTGTAAACCATTAGTGTATAAAGCATTGTGAAGCGGTATACAAGTTTGTTGTGCTATTACTATTGCTACTGTCTTTTCTCTGACTAAAAAGTCAATTTGGCCATGTCAGTGAGTTCCATCATTTCCACCAACCGTCCCTTCCATTGTAGGTATTGTTGAATCTTTCCATCTTTGTGCATAAAATAATCTTGCTGCAGTTATCATGTACAAAATCAAAATTCCATGACTTTTTTCCAGCTCTTTATCCATCCTTTCCAGCTCTTTATCAGTCCTTTGGTCTCAATTGTGTATTAATCTTTAACATCCACTAAATCTTTATGTATTTGGATCCAACATTTTCTAGCTTTTTTACATGTCCACTAAGTATGATAAAATGCCCTTTTTGTTCACATTTCCAATATAAATTTGAAATACCTTTAGATATTCTGGACAATTTTATCTTTCATAAAAATGTTGTAAAAGTATAACAGTGTAAATTTCAATCATTGCAATTGCAGTTTCTCATTGTTCCATCTGTATCTCATAACTAAAATTTTAGCCCAGTTTATCATACATTGTTTCATTTACACATTTTAGTAATATAAAATGTTCATGATTTGTACAAAATTCCATTTCAAACTCAGTCTTACAGTGTTCAAAACCATAAACTCTTTTGTCTACTTTAAATGTTTCTAATAACTGTAAATAAGAAAACCATTGGCAACTATGTCCCTCTGCCATCAATTCTTCTCTTGATATTATTTTCTATTTCCCTTGACAAAATTCTAATATCTCATGATAAGTTAGCCATTTGTATTTGCCTATTATTTCTTGTTTATAAAATGTTTCTTGTGCTGAGAGCCACAGAGGTATTTTCGGGCACAACTCAGATTTCTAACTCTTCCATATTTTCACTATGACATGTCTAACATAATGATTAAAATCCACAATAATCTTGACCTCATCTTACAATATCCACACTACCCAAATCTCATCTCATATCTTTCTAACCCCAAAAGCCTTCTATTTCTCAATAACACCTCTCTCATCCACACCAAAGAGCAAACTGTAAAATACAATTTCAAATCGGGTAAAGCCAGCCCTCCTCTTTGTGTCTTGTAATATCTTATATTTAATATGGGGGGTTTGCCCCCTGCCAGACAATGTTGGTGTATCCTTTTGCCACTGTTTAAATGGTGCATCAGTTGTCAAAATGGGTATTATCTGAAACAAAAACATCATTCTAGGCAAAACATTTTTATCACAGAAATTCCCCCCAGCAATGAGGATTCTAGTTTTTCCCATCTTATCTTTTTAATTTCATTCCATGTCTTAATATAGTTATTATGAAACAATATATAGTTCATATTTGTGATACCCAGATATTTTAATTTCTTCTCAATCTTAAAATCTGCTGTATTCACCAATTTTATGAATTGGTCATCTATTTTCATGGTTTTTGTTAACATCTCTGTCATAATGGATATTTTCATTATCCAAATAGCTTTGATTTTTCAGGAATTCTGAGAGTAAATTTCCGTGTAATAGGGGGCTGAGTCTGTCTTATTCTATATTCTAATAGCATGGTTAGCCCTCCAAGCTATTGTGTATTATTATCATCATCATCATGCATTTTTAGTATATCAGTTATTGGAGATAGCTACATTTTGAAGTATGCCATCAAATGTCTCCTGGATCCTATGCATACATAAATACATCATAGGCTATGCTGTGTTATGTATAATAAAGTATAAGCAAAAAATTAAAGGCAGAATATATAAGAAAAGGAATTCTAGATCTTACCTTACACCAACTATATCTCTGTATTCTGTTCTTATAAATCATCTGTGCCACCATGACATTCATACATTAATTCCTACCCTGCCTTTTGTTCTTTAAACTTCTTATTAATCTCTTTTTCATTGTCCCATAAGCTCCATTTATCTGAGATTTTCTTAGTTTTCCTTCTTGTATTGGCCTATTTACTCCATATTTTTGATTTGCAATTCTATCTTAATTCACATTCTCTATATGAAAAAAGCACTTCAGCATGATCAGACATCTATTTTCATTGATCATTCTTGCTTGACATAACTATCTTAGTTTTGCTGCAAATGATTTGAATTCTTAGCATTATCATCTGCGCATAAATAAAATGTACACATATTCTTTTTCTTTACCTCACTTCTAACATCATCAAAGCGTTCCTTGGGTGTTAATCTATAAATGCACGAAAAACCTATAAATGCACGAAAAACCTAGGGGAAGTTAAATCATTTTCTTATTCCTTACTCAATTTTGAACCATTTACAAAGTATTCTGTTTATTATTGTGTGCGTTAACGACCTTACTTCCGTAGATATCTTCCATGTCCTATTGAAGAACAAAATTTGACCTGAATGCTCCCTTACTGACAAAGCCATGTTTTATTTCCCACATTTTACTTATTGTCATCTGTCCTACCAGAGTTCTGCACCTCTGTAGGCACACTTGACAAACTCATCTGCAAAAAAAGCATTCTTCATTTTAATGATTTTTAAAAGATTTCGAATATTTAAAGTTCATAAGAAAACTTTAAAAAAAAATTAAAATGAAGAACAAAGCCTAGTTTCTGTTTCTTTATCTTACTTGTGTACTCTTCAGGGACAAGTTTCTGTCTTGATTGGAAATGGATTGGAAACTGCCATGGGATGAGGTACCTTCAGTACACTGATGATACTCCATCCCGGGTCACCCAAATGATGCTGTTGCTGCCCTCTCATGGTGCCTGGAGGCTGCAGAGGTCTGGATGGGAGACAAGAAATTTTGACTGAACCCTGGTAGGGCCAAGTGGCCTTCAGTGTATGGAGCTTCTGACTCCGGGACTTTAATATCTTTAATTCTGGATGGGGTGGTACTGCCCTAAATAGATCCAGTCCATAATATGGGGGTTCTCCTGGACTCGTGACTCCTGCTCCATGAGCAGGTGGCAATTGTGGCTAAGACAGCCTTTGCACAAATTTTGGATCACATGCCAGTTGCACCCTTTCCTGGATCAGGAGTCCCTGCACTCAGTCATCTCATGCCTGGACTACTGCAATTCATTCTACATAGAGCTATCTTTGAAGAGTATATGGAAGCTTCAGCTGGTGCAGAACACAGCTGGGCAGGCAGTTTTTAGGGCCCCTAGGGTGACCCATGTTACACCACTGTTCCATGAGCTGCACCAACTAGCTGTTAATAATTTTTAAAACCCTTCATGGCATGGGTCCAGATTATCTGAGGAACCAGCTATGGGACTAGCCCACCCATCCATGCCACCAGAAAGGGCATGCTGCAGATTCTGTTGGCTAAAGAATTTTGGCCAGTGAGGTCCGGAAAAAGAGCTTTTTCTGCTGTGGTTCTCTCCCTGTGGAACATCATGTCCCCTGAGGTGAGATCTGCACCTGCCCTTTCGGCCTTCCAAAAGGCCTTGAAGACATAGCTGTGCCAAGTAGCCTGGGCCAATGGCAGTGTGGCATTTTGGAGATGACTAGTGGAGTAAATAACCTCCCTCCTTATGCACACTTTGCTCTCTCCTCTCCATTGAGGTCAGTTTTATTTTACCTGAATTTTAAATTTAAGGTCCTCATTTATTGTTTTAATGTTTCATAGTATACTTTAACTGTATGTCTGTAATCCGTCACCTTCGGCAAGATGGACAGCATATAAGTTTAATTAATTAATTGGGATCAACCAGAACACAAAAAAACCCTCTTTCTAAAAATAGCATATCTGTACTGGGAAGCAGTAAGTTTACAACAAATGAATCAAGGGGAGCAAAAGAAAACTTGAAGAGATACTTATGTTAAGCCCAAAAATAGAGATATGAAGGGGACAGGGATTGTCATACAAAATAAATTGCAGTAGGAAAAGGCCTCTTTAAACTCCTTCTCCCACTTCACTCTGTTTTTACATTATTTTAATTTTTTAAAAATGAGAAGTTTGCAGACTGCAAAGGAAAACAGCCTCAGGCATAATCTATCACCAGAAATGGGAGAATGCCCACAACACAACTTCAAAAATTCAAATGTGTCCACTTGAAACAAAAGGCAGTGGGACACCACCACCACCACCACCACCCCATTTAAGCAGACAAAAGCGGTCATGCTTGCTGAACCTTCCTTGTCCCCTGTACATTTCAGATAGCAACTTCATTCCCAAATAAAATCCTGTAGAGGAATGGATCATGTCCCTCCTTAACAGAAGTTACATAATGTGCTCAATGCAATAAGCTCCTCACTGTCAAAGTTCTGCTTTATTACTGTGAGGATAAGATAATTGCCTTGGAAAGAGTTCAAAAAAGCAGTGAGGTTCATGCATGAAAACATTTAATGCTTGATACGAGTGCTGCCCTATTTTCAGATTGACAGCCTTTTTCTGGTCATACTGAATGAGAGTTGTTAACAACTGAACTGTGAAATCATATATTTTCTGTAACATACACAGCATATGCACAATTCTAAGTTCACCCTCTGGATAAGATGTCTAGAAATAAGTTGATTTAACACTGGCTTTTTAAAAG